AGAGGAGAAAACAGAATTCTTGTCCCTTGCTGCAGGGGGACAGTTTGGTGATTTCTCAAAAAGTTCAACATAACCAATCAAGATCATAAGAACAGCATTAGTCCAAGGACAAAATTCAGAAGGCAGGAAGGGTTAGAGAAGAAGTAGGAATGAAATTGTGAAGCACAGAGAGGAAGTGGGATGAATGAGGTTCTGTTGTGGGCATTGTAATCAGTGACATGAAACAAAATGTGTATGAATTGTTGAAAGGAAACCCGATATACTCTGTAAACCTTCATCCAATTCACAATAACTAAAAGTTAAACATAGTATTAGCATGTGACCCAGCATTTCCACACTAGTATATTATCCTAGAAGGAGCTCTGTAAATGTTGTGGTTACAAATCGGGCCGCTAATTTCACAGTCGGCAGTTCGAAACTACCAGTGGTTCCATGGGAGAAAGATGAGGCTTTCTGCTCCTGTAAAGATGTACAGCCTCAGAAACTCTGTACAGGGTCTCTATGAGTCGGAACTGACTCAAAGGCACATAACAAAAACATATTATCCTAGAAGACTTGAAATCAGGAATTCAAGCAGATATGCGCATCCTAGTAGCATTCATTACAGCATTATTCATAGCAGCCAAAAGATAGAAACACCCCAAGGGTCCATCAACAGATGAATGAATAAGCAAATTATGGTATATCTATACAAATATTTTTTTTCAACCATAAAAAACAACCAAGTACTGATTCGTGCTACAATGTGGGTAAACCTCAAGTGCATTGGAGTCCTGGTGTGGCGCTGTGGGTTAATGCGCCAGACTGCAGAGCCAGTTGACTGCAAGGTCAGCAGTTCAAGCTCACCAGCTGCTCCTTGGAAATCTTATACAGGGTCGCTATGGGTCGGAATCAACTCGACGGCAATTCACAACAAGAACAAGTTAAAATGAAGTTTAAAAGAAATACCCAGAATAGGTAAATCTATAGAGACAGAATGCAGAATGTGGTTGCCGTGGGGGGTGGGGGTGTGCGGTAGGAAGGGGAGGAATAGAGAATGAGTCTTTAAAGAGTAAGAGGTTTCCTTTTGGGGTGATGGAAATGTCTAGACCTCAATTAGACATGATAGTTACATCACATTGTGAATATACTAAGTGCCACAGAAGTGTGCACTTTAAACAGTTACACTTATGCTGTGTGAATTTCACCTTGATCAAAAAACACAGGGGACCACATACTCCAGAAAAGGAAAGCTATTATACAGTCGTATTCCAAAAGTCAGATTTCCCATCCAAGAAGCAAACATTAAAGCGAAGTTTGCTGAGAATAGGAGCAAAATGTCTCCATGATGTGGTTAGTCACTTTCCCCAATCAAAAGGAATTGAAGAAGGTTAATGAATTCAAGACAAGGATGTGGATTTTCATCGTTAAGACACAAATATTCCACTTTGGTTAGTATTAGACGTTTCCTCCTAGTTGGCTCTACAAAATAATCCCATCAGATAGAAATGTAATTTATGGGCAATAAAAATGACAGTACTGATGAGGAACATTTTATCCTCCAAAGGATGTTCACTGTAAACACTAACGAACTACAAGCCTCTGCATGATTAGGGGTATTTGAAAGCCTTGTGGCAGGATATATATAATCACAAGAAAGCTGTATTCTCACGTAGCCACAAAACGAAACAAAAATTGAGCACAACTGGGAAAACAGTCCGAGAAGTCAGAATTCAAACCTGTTTTGTTCCCAGCTTACAATGCATGTAGCATGATAAAGCCACTGAGGACTTTCGAACTGCAGTGAGCCTGGGATCTTATGTAGTGCCACCTCCTCCCAAGTCAAGTCTAGGCTATGCATCCTTCACCACACAAAGAAACAGACCATGGCAACAGTCTCTCTTTTATAATGGTCTTCAAAAGTTATTAAGCCCTGTAAGTCCATCTTCTGCCTATAGCTGACTGGAATACCTAAAATGGGGCTACAACATGTCCCGTGAAGGAGGCTTCCTGCAGAGCCTCTGCAATACATAAGACTATAGATGGGATCCTGAACCCCACCCAGATTCTTCTGAGGTGGGAAATTTCCACTTGAAAGGACAAGCAGACCAACCTGGAGAGATGAGAAGAACCCCAACAGGAAAAATACAAGACAGTAAAAGCA